ACTTTGTCTTCTTGTTGCATCAGAATCCACATGCGTAGATGAAGTAAGTCTTATTTATTTATATTACATTTTACAAATAAAAAGCATCTCACATATTGAGTGGCAGATATGACTTAAACGTAAAATACATTGTTTTTACAAATTCTTAGAATTTTGTAGTAAGTCTTACTTGTTATTGAAACAGGTAATCTTTTCTAATAAATATATTACTTAAAATGAAACATGTCTTCTAGCAAGCAACAACAAGCTAAGTTTTATTTCAAGTGGATATTGTACCATGAACCAGGATTCTTTTCAGATACTTCGGATGAAGAAAAGAACTAAACCTGTAAGGTCATCATGCCAGTCGGACTGTAAGCATTGTGGACAAGGCAAAAGAGGTGCCACAGACAAACTGTCTCGGCAGACATAGGTTCTGACTTCGACAACCAGTCATTTGGTAACTTTCAAATCAGTGGACCTGGCTTTGATTTGAATTACCATTACCATCTTGCCAACTTTCAATTTAACCCAACTTTGCGTCCAGTGGGAAGACATCTCTTACCCAGAACTGGAAGCAAATCACATCCAACTGCTGCATTCTAAACATATCAAAGGGCACAAGTTTCCTTCCACCTCCTACCATCCAATGGACAAAGCTCTTGGCACCAGATCCAGCTACAAGTCTTTGCTAGGACCACCACCCAAATTCAAGATGGCATCAATGCAGAAATTGGGTTCAAGCATCAGAGATTGGTTCATCAGTTTAGATCGGCATACCTCAATGTTAAAGTAGGAAGGCATGAGTTTCAAGTTCCTCTGGTCAGGATATCAAGAGGTCCCTGGCTGTTCACCAAAGTCACAGCTCAGATTATAAATTTCACTAATCTTCAACTAGTTACATCTGCATGGGTACATGGATGGATTTGGGCCAACAGAACAGTATCTTCTTAATTCAAATCATGACCTATCTTGGTTTCCTTGTACATCTAACAAAATGAAGGAACCTTCCCAACAGAAAACATAGTATACATTGTAGCCCGATTCTAACTATGTCTCAGAAGTCACTGTCCCTTGGAGAATCAATGTCAAGACAATGATCTTGAACATGATATCAGCTAATCCCACTTTAATCTTCCCTCAATGGCCCTGTCTAAATATAGAAAGCCAAAACTTGCTTCAAGACATAACATACAGAAGATTGACATAGTGGACTCTCCATAATTGGATAAATTCTCTGGACTCATCCAAATACCAAGAGATTTGGCACAGAATCTCCATGGTGCCACAGAGAACGTGTAATGAATGGCGTTCCCCCAGTAAATCAAACACATGGGCATCACCTATTTACAGATGTATCCAACACAGGCTGAGTAGCCCATATGGACATTCAAGGTTCACAGTCTTTGGAAGATGTCACATCAGCAGCCAACAAATGAAGAACATCTTCTATGCTTTCAAGAACTGAAGGAATCTACTCCTCAGTCCTCACATCCACTTACCTTTCATTCAGAAGGAATGAGGAACCAAATCACAGATGAATGACTTAGTCTTGCTTGTCTTTTTAGACTACATCAGTTGCCAGATGGAAGTGAGACATATATCCAAAAGATTCTTAACTCAAGTGGACAGCCCTTCTTGCCATGGTCACTACATTCAGATGTATTCACCTGGATAAAATCATGATGGATACCTGACATCTGGACGTCTAAGCAACTAATATGAACAACCACCTTTTGATCTTTGTCAGTATGGTATGAGAGCCGATGGCCCTTCAGTTAGACATTCTACCCATGAATTGGAAAGGTCTTTTTGCTTGCCCATTCCCTTCTTGGTCTTTTCTGGACAAGGTAATCTGAAAAGGAGAGATTAGGGATAGCATCATCATCTAGATTGCTCCCCTATTGCCAACCAAAGAATATTTCCCAAAATAACTGCCATTACTCCATGTTCCATTAAGACAAAATGTTATATAGTGATCTAAGTACACATATTGTGAAGCAATGCATTACATTCCCCAGTACTAGATAATGATATTTTCCTGTGATGTGTTACAAGAGTGTTTTTTGTAATTTGTAAACTGATTGATTAGGTTATAGTTATTATTGGTCACAATGTTTAAAGTTTTAAGTGTGGGTTTTGGCTCACATCTGGCATCATGTATGTTCAATGGCAACATTATTTTTAGTGGTACGCCTTTTGATAGCGCTCTAGAGTTGCCTTCTTGGCTTTATTTTGTTTTGGCTTACGGTCATATGTTCGAGAAAATCGCATAAGGTTCTGAGTGGATAATGATGCTGCCTACCTTTACTAGAATGCTCTAGAACTGTGTAAGAGCTATATAAAGGCGGGTTGTTGCGGTGTGCAGAGGGACTAACACACAGACTTTTCATATCACTGGAGTTATATACATCTGACCTACATTTCAAGACTGACCCTGCTCGTCTATATTCAACATGTCATTGTAAACAAGCTTCATTCAGTATATCTTACACACATTTCCCACATATTTTTCAAATTGATGAGAAACATAATATTGCTAACTTTGAACTCTTGTCCACAAGGAAGACATTAAACAGTCAAATGTCAAAGGTAAACTTTATGAGAACTGATTATCTCATGTGTCGGGCATTGGGTATTGTGCATGGATGTAAAGAGAATGCAAACTGTATTGGGAACCCACTTAGTCAAGGATGACAGTGTTGTATGGGTAAATCCAACCCATTCAGGTTTCAGATCTGGTAATGTAAATTGCCACTGGAAGACTTTTATGTTGTAGTTTTTTAGGGATGCTGCTGGTATATACCCTGCATCTGGTGTAGCATTATGTTGAAAAATATTAGTATACCGTATATTACTGTAGATAAGCCGACCCCCATAGATAAACCGACCCCCAAACTTGACCCATAAAATTAGTGTCAAAATGGTATGTTTCGTACATAAGCCGATCCCCCGGGATGGGGTCCTAATCGCAGCAAACACAGACCACAGACAACTGGCAGATTACCAATAATTATAACTTTGGTCCACTTTATTCAAAGAATTCACAATCATATTGCGTCTACTCATGCATCGAACTGAAGTGTAGTTGACAGAAAATGGATAATATATTTTGTTTCTCTAAATATCATACTTATTGTAGCTGGACGATCACATGTCAACAAACTGGCTTGCTTTTTTAACCCCGTTCAACATTCACGAACTGATTACCGCCTCATTTTCCATGTACTGCTAGTTTGCAGTAACATCGGTAAAAATGTGTGAATTTAAATGGCTTGATTATTTGACCCTCTTCCATGTGTGTACAACCTCCGCTTACCACGTTCATGAGGGTCCGTATAACCTTAGTGTTGATTATATATATTTCACATTTATAGAGCAAAAACTGTAATTAAAATTACACAATGCTAAGATATATTTCTTTGGGGTTAAATAATAGCATTCTGTATTATATTTTACTGATGACTGCGTCAGAATTCATCCCGTTATATTATTGTGCATGTTTGAACTTGATCGCCGGTAAAACATATGCACAGCTTATTGCTATTTCCGGCTCAAATACACATGGTAATCTTAATCCCTGCAAATAATACAATGCCCAGCAAAAACAACTTAGAACTTGAAAAGTAAGTAATGTTGTCTAGTGATATTTAATTGCAAATTTGACGTCTTTACTGACAAAGTTGTCTTCTATTGTTTGTTCACGCGACGTGATGCGATGTTATTTTCTTACCCCTGGAAAAAGTTTGACGAAAGCGTAACCCATAGATAACCCGACCCCGTTCTACAGACTGCTTTTTTTTTTATCCTCAAATTTCGGCTTATCTACGGTAATATACGGTAGTTCATAATGGGGACAGTGTGTGTCTTCAGTATCGCATGGTGACAATCACTGGATTGTCAAGTGCAGACTCGATTTGTTTACAAACAACAGTACAGCTGTAATACTACTGAAACAAATATATACTCATGATATTGTAACAATTGTACAATCAACTCTGCTTTTAGCAGAGATTTCTTCTGGACATGGAAAGGGTTTTGTAGCTACTGAAACGTTTCCAGAATGAAAACATTGGTGTCTGATCACCAAAACGCACTTTACTTTGCAGAAGAATCGTAAGATAAATACAATCAAATATGTTTGTGCACTGTTCCCATACATTGTATGGGTTGAGTGTCGCATGTCTAAGGCTTGATTTGTTTACAAACAACATCGTACGGTTGTAATACTACTCAAACAAATATGTACTCATGATGTTGTCACAATTGTACACTCAACTCTGCTTTTCTCAGAGATTTCTTCTGGATGTGGAAAGGGTTTTGTCGTTTCTATTTCTAACATGATTTTCATGGTCAGTGTTGCTTCAACAGAATGCACTTCAATGCAATATGTAATTATTGTTAACTGTATGTCAGTGATTTATTCAGATTCCAATATAAACATGTGTTAACATTAACTATTGCAAAATGAAACAAAAACATGATTTGGGTGAACTACTTGAGCTTAAAATCTCTTGTGACCTCCAATAACTAAGATCCTTGACTGGAATGTCATTATAAAGTCACACGAAATTGTTAAGACAAGGCCTTTATGATAAATTGATAATATATGTCACATTATGAAACAAACAAACATAGCAAAATAATATCATTTGTGAAATGAGGCTCTTGTAATAGTCTAAATAAAAAATTGGTCCATTTGAGGCCACTTATTTCCTCCAAAATGTCACATATGAAACCATTCAAACCCACCAAACCTAAAGCATTTGGTAGAATGTTTGGCACTTTTGCGGCCACTGAGAAAGATGCTTTTACTTGTAAAATGTTACATGAAACCAACAGAAATAAGAGTATATTTGGCACTTTAGAGCACATTTTGTTGCTATGGAAATCAAGGGCAGATAATGCAAAGGGAGCTAACTCTGGACGACCCAATATATTGCAGAATCTGAACCATATCGCAATATTTGTATCGCGAGATACTGTACCGGTATACCGGTATTATTGCACAGCCCTATTATGATGATAATGTCATGTATTTTATATGTACTTTCAGTTAGTGTGTCTTGTGTAGAAACTCTTGTTACTTTTATAGTATTGCTGGTTTTCCAAATCTAATTACCTTTGTGGTTCAGTGTTGCATATATTACAGAGAACTGAGTAACTACAAAGCCTCATTTGTCTTATTTTTCTCCTTCTTAAGAATTTGACAAGTATCAATATCATTCTTTTGATTAACTGATAGCATGATAAGGACATGGACTAATATGCATGTGTCTGTCTGCCAAATACTTAGGCCGGATTGCAGCAGGTAATACTTGAAATCATTAATCATGCAATAACACTTCACTTGCTTTCATTGGCATTATGGTCACTTGATGCTACTAATTATATGTTCAATCTAACACTGGTATGTTCTTGTTTGTTTTTGAAGTTTATGTTATCTGATATAATGGATTCATGGAGAGAAGTTTATCACCACTGTTGCACATTCAGGATTATTTGGCTGTCTCTACCACAAATGATATCTCACAGGGGTAATGTGAATACATTATTAACTGATTATGATCGCAGCTGCAGGGCTAACATGCCATTCTCACAAAGAATGCAGAATGATTGAAAAAATGTCTTGAGTTAATATTCTATGTAAATTGTTCATGAGGCAAACCCAGGTTTAGCTTCAAGACAATAATCAAGTATCCATAGACTATAGCATGTTACTTGCCTCAAGCCAAGTTTACATTTTGGCTTTTACCACATTATCTGGAATTCTACCTTGGCCCAGGCGAACTCTTTTGGCACATGTCCTGTGAAGGTCAGAGATCAAGTTCATAAGATTCTCAAAAAAGGATATTTTTTTAATGATGGATGCTTATTTGTAGCCATTGCATGGTTTGAAATGGCTGTAGATAAGCTGAACATCAGGAAGAACTGCTAAACTGCTAAGACAGGACTTAGCAAGTATCATATTTAGATACAGTTTGTTATGATATGCCCAGGGATTCAAACCACTGACCTTCCACATCAGATGAATTTGATGTCAAAGATGGAGCATGAGAGAACAAACTCAGTCCTAATATTGATGTTTGAGACAATATGATACTGGAAAATGTGATTGACAACTTATGCCAGATTGCTTATTACAGTTAAAGCTTACCTGAAGTTGTAGCCTGTTTGTCCGGTTTACATTTTGTGCGTTAAACAACATTTCCCCAGAAACCAATAGACCAGTGAACTGAATTTTCACTTACTTGCACCAACCAATGATGACAGTCCCATTTTTCCAAAAGGGTCAGATCCAGTCACCATGTCAGCCACATAGAAAAACTTATTTATGGCTATACACAGTCATTGGTTTAATAAAGTAAAATGAAATTTTGTATGTGCACTTAAAAATGGCACCTAACATAGTAACATACTGATTTGTATCAGTATTTTTATATATTTTACAACTTTACCCTGATTTGCAATACTGCTATCTCTGAAGCGTCTTATTGCTATTATGAAAGTACTCGAATGTCAGTGCTAACAGTAACTTTTAAAGAATTTTGTCTGTCATGACATTTGAAAACAACTGTTGATAATGTATCCAAGTGGCTACAGGGTATGTGGCTCTACTGTAAATTCTGTTGTCAGTAGTGTTGTGTGTCATTTACACGAAGACAACAATCACTCTCACATTTCATACATTTTCTCCAAAGCTCCACCACTCATTCAGGAAACTTCTGAATGTCTCACTTCAATATTTTATTATGTTTTTAGTTGAAAGATTGATAGAAATTAATCTGCAACCATTATTCTACAATGCATAAAAGTTTTTGAAGGTCTTTGTAACAGTCCATAAAACAGGACTGTTTTTCAGATTTTGTTGGAATTTTTTCATTTGCTGGTGGTATTTCAGTGTTTTTCATGGTGAATGTTACTCCTCCATGGACTTATCCAAATGGCCTTGGGGAATCATTTTGGTGTATGTCATGAAAAGGTGAAGATAGATTAAAACAAAAGGTTTTCACAATCTGGTGGACAACAATAGGTCAGGTCCTCGACTTCAGGGTTTATCAGCTTTTGTAAAAGACCACTACAGCAACTTCTATGGCATCTGCCAAAGTTTTGGTACCAAGATTGAGGAACTGCTTAGATTAGGCGGGCCTTAGTGACAGTAATGTGTAAATGTGAGTGATCTTTTGCATTGACCAACATTGTCCACTACAATGTCAATGGTGTCATATCCACAGAATATGGCATTATTGTGTGATATGGAACTAACTATCTTGTTCACCAAAAATCATGTTATTAGCTTTGTTGTGCATATTGGAGGATGCAAGGTCTATAGACATCTACACAAACATTTTCCACCAAAATGAACACATAAAATAAAATCCAGCAAATGTACCAGTACTAAGTTCAACCTGGTTCACATTTTTGGCAACTGGGCTACACAACAGTAAAAACATGAAATCCCATTATGAAACACATCAACTCTGTAACCAAACACAGGACAACTCACAACTGCGTACCTACTCAACTATTCATTCTGGTACTGCCCTGGCTCTCTCAGTCACCAGATGTGAACACCAACTGAACATTCATATGATTAGTTCGAAATGTGAGCATTCAACTGCTTTCTATTGCTCCCAAATGAGTCCATCAAATGCCACCAAGGTTACATTTGCATATTGTATATTTTGGGGAGAAAGGGGAGAAATGCATCACTGAGGATGTGTGTCTGATGATTCATTGCCAGGTACTATTACACTTTAACTTTTACAATCCTGGAGTGGAAAACATAGGATCACATCTTTGAAAGGCATTTAGAAGTTGGAAGGTAATACAATGAGTGAATAAAATGTATGGAATAACTGTACCAAGAATTCTTGTATTTTGCCCTGGACTAAGAAGTGAAAAACGCCCCCTTTTATTAATCAAGTTATGATTATAATATGAATCCATAATTAAGCTAAGGGCTCTAATTCTTAAAAGGCACGTATTGAAAGGAAAACAACAGGCACATAATAATTTTTAATGACCTTTTAATGTTTAATTCATTTAAAGAAGAGTTAAACCATAAACAAAAACGCTTAGTTTTCAACACTCAGGTGTTATTTGATGTTGCAGAAATATAATTCTGACTGAATGGCAGATCTTAACAGGGACCATTTAGTATGACATGTGGAATATGTCCACAAAACTATCATCATACAAATGTCATGATGTAACAGAAGTTTTTTGCCATCTTTGACAAAAGTACCTAAAATGAACATTCACACGCTAGTATGAAAAATTCTTAACAGTTGCATGTGTGAGTAAAATGTATATATAAAAATCCATCATAAACATCAAGTCCTGGAGATTATTTTATCAGAAATATGCATAATGTAATGAGTACAGAATGTGTGTTCTGAAACTGACGTGTTGCCCACTTGCTGTTGTTACTTTGATTGCTGTCATTTTGACAACAGGATGCTAACACTTATATCCCCATCTTATGCACTACTAACCTTGTTTGCTGCAGGTGTGGTGGATATTTGGCTCCTGGCACTTTGATAATGTGTTGGTTCATATCAGAGCACATGCAAATGTAAAATGGGAAATATATTAACAACAACATATGCCTCAACTGTTGCTTTTACTTTGTCTTCTCCCAGATTCCTACAAATGTTTTACTTGAGTTGAGCTGACTAAGGTTTAGAACAATTCACCATTTAGAACAAATTTTAGGTTGTGTTTAATGATGTTTTTCATATGGACATCCCAGTCTTAGTATACTTTGGCTCACTATTATTTATTACACTGCTATACTGTGTCTAACAAACCGTAATAGAAGGTCGCATCAGCTAACCTTTGAGCGACCTATGACTGTCCAATCAAACGTAAGACGGCCAAACAGATTCAACCAGTCAGACAATGGCTACTATTTAGGGTTCGACGGGACATTTTCAAACTTTTCTCTTCCCCGGTCGATGACGCTGATCTCTCAACAAACGAAAGGCCGCGTAAAGACACAGATATTTGACCTGCAGTATATACCTTGGGGTTTATGATGACATGGATATTTTTAGCTTATATTTCCGCAAGATGACATTCTGGAATATTGATAAAAACGCTATTTTCAGCGACTGTTTACTCACTTTTGTGAATTATGGTATTCTCCATGTGTATCTCTCGGAAGCGATTTTGCGGAAAATAGCATTTGGAATTGTTCGAGTACAAATGTTTTTAGGTTAAAGTTCAAACGGAATGTGCGACCTTCTACTAGGATTTGTTAGACTCAGTATAGCAGTGTGAACAAGACTGATGGATGTCCTACAGTCATTTCATCAAACACTGTCTAAGCTTTCACATATTCAGCATGGTCTTTTCTTTTCCAATCATCCTCTTGTAAACTATTGATAAGCTGTTGCTGAACATGTAGGCTTATTTACAACTGACATTGATAGATCTTTACTTTGGTTTGGTTCCGTTCGGTTCCTAATTGCTGTTTCTGTATATACTTCAAAAGTGTATATTTATAAATGTATATGTAAGGATTGTATTCTTTTGTTTGAACAGCACAAAGAAAGAAAAGAAGAGGCTCTTCTAACAGTTCAGAGCCTCATCCATCTGTTGGAGCAGCAGCTGATCACACGCTTTCTGCAGTGGCTCCCTTGTGCACCCAAACCTCTCCAGCAAGCTACAAGTGCCAACCATGCAGCACCCAGTCTTTAGCCGTCATCACAATTTCAAAGATTATTCTAGTCTTGTGACACTCAGTCATCACCCACAGGGTTCATTCATTTCTAATCTTACATTTCTCAGCTAGAGATTACCCAATGATAATTAGATCATGATTGTTAATTGATACCTTTCATTTCTGTTATAACAGTATTTCTATCAGTTTTGGGAACAGGGGGTACTATTTATTTTTACCATGAATGACTTGATAGCTATCACTTTTTGAACAAAATCTTTATTCCTGAGATCAGTTCAAATGATTCTCCTTTTGTTTTGAGGTTACATTTGTATTTGATATATTGTTAGGTCTTTCCCTGAGATCACACATTCTCGGAAAGAACGTGTATCATTAAACCTGGTTCAGTAAGATAGTTATTCTTTCTTTGTTTGTCAGTAGGAAATAGTGGCACCAGGTCATAGTTTGACAGAAGTAATCAGCACATTTTTAAGTTTCAAATAGCTTTGTTCCTGTAAATATTAAACAGGTAGATCAAATGTGACTGTAATTGTTCTCATGAACCAAGTAGGCCTTATGGTGTTTTGCTTCATTGTCTTTTTTCATGTCTGATGCTGTATGAACCTTTAATATCAAGCGATAATCTGCTGAGGACAAATTGCATTCATCTTCTTTGAAGTTAAAATTTTATGGTGTGGAATTACTTTTACTGGTCGCCCTACTCAAAATTCAAGGAACTGTTTTCTTTGTGAAAATGTGCAATAAATGTGTTTATTGAGTGATAAATAGTTTTAAAGGGTGACAAAAGAGTTTTGTGACTTTTTTGTCAGAGATAGGTGGTGATGTATTATGTGTATTCCACTCTACAGGGTGAGGGGGAAGGGAGTGTGCACTAAGTTCAAGAAAATATAGTAATGAGCTTGTGTGTTTCCCTAAATAAATGCGACTCTTTGGCCTCCCAATTTTTTGCAAAAATATTATTATCCAGTAATTCTATGATGCAGGGAATCCAAAATGTGAAAGTCTAAGTTCTTTTAGACTGAACAAAACTTCAGTATCAGTCCTTGAGTTTTTGGACTGTTGTATTGACACAGTACACACTGCCACTTGTGTTCAGGTTACAGGTGATGTGTAGATTGAAGACTTACACCTATGTTAATATTCTTGATAATGAGACCAAAATTATGTGTAATTGATAGTTTGCTTCTGTAGAAATTTTGAACGCAGAAGTATTTGATATCACTCAACAAGATGTTTACACAGAAACACACTTGAATTGGCATTCCAGACCATGAAAGGGAACCTGTTTTCTGAGGTAAATGATGACAGTTTGATTTTATTTGGAATAAGATGTTTTTTGTGACACAATGAATGTTTTCATCTTTAGCTCAGAATGTTAAGCTGTGGATGATGTTGCACAATGTTGACACTAGGAGTGCTTGCTTTGTCTTTGTCAGTATATCTTGTTTGTAGTCTGTTACTTTAGTGAGTACAGGTTATGCCAGACAGTTACATTAATTATCTGTATCATATTCCTGTGTTTGTAATTTTTGTACCCAGGTAATTTTATTGTATATTACATTGACACATTCTCATGTTGTCTCTGTGTGTATTGCATATATGCATGAAAATATTTAGCATGGCTAAATGTTTAATGAGCATTTGGATGATATCTCAGTTTATTAGGTGCAGCTTTTTTTACATAACTATGTAACTTGATAACAAGCTCAATATCACCATATCTCACTGCTAATTCATATTTATTACACCAGTAACAATACTATGTTAATCACCCCAGCCATTAATTGTTATATGACATGATATATATTTATAATTCTTCAATACCGCATTACATATGGTTATATTGATGTATACTGGGTTTTTTTTGTCATGTATGTTTAATTCACTTGGCCGGAAAGGTTATGTGAGCTTGTGTTGTCACAGGTGGTCATCAGTATCCTTGAATTGTTTACATATTTAAGTTCTTATCTGAAATGGATTCAGAAGAAGTTTTGTAAGGATGCATATTACCATAAAGGTTTATTCAAGGCATCAAAATTTCAGTTTGGTTGCCAGTTGTAATCTTTGGCGTAACACAAGCAAAATGTGTCAGAGGCCGGAAAATCGGTGGGTAACTAAAGTTTATTAAATAGTTGGGCTCCTGTCTCTTGCAATATTCCAACTTTTTCACTTTAGACCATGCCCTTATACTGTCACTAAAGACGTTTTCTCACTGTAAACAGTATCTCAAACCTCACTGAATGAGTGAGGCTTGTTCTCAGCAGTGACGGAAAGCTGATTTGTGGAGGTCTCAAATGTGATTTTACATACATTTTGTGCACTATGTATGCCAATAGTAGTAGTAAGGGTTAAGATGTGTGTTCTGGTTTTTCTGTATTTTGAATTTTTACCTTTGCACATTGATCATACTGAAAACTGAAACTTCTTATTGACACTTCGGAAGAACATTTTCAATTTTGACCTTACCTTTTTCACCTTACATTTTTATCATGCTTCAAAATTCTCTCATAATGCATTACCCCCCTGGAAACATCTCACCAGAAAAAAAACTCTCGCTTGTCACAGCTATGCTAAATAACACTATTTATGGCCTGTGCTCTGCTCTCGGCCTTTTGTTATCAGAATGTACTACATGTATAATGATCCTATGTTCTATTAAAATGTAGTTTTGGTTCACGACACATTTCTGAAACATGAATAATTATTCCATACAGAGTAAACTGAGCTTGTGTATTGCAGCATTCATTATTGTAGATTTAGAAACATTGTGGATAGTTAGTTACTTGTCATATTATTGTTGATTTATTGTAAATTCTGAATATTTCAACAGAAATGCTGTCAGTAATTTGGTTTAAGTGACTGTTTCAGTTGGCTATGTACACAGGGGAGCTACAGTGCAGTGGCACTTGGTTAATTTTGGCTGTAATGTATCTTGTATTTCTGTGCAAATTGTGATGTGTTGAGGGTAACAGATACATGAAACAAGACTAGGCATAAGTGATTACTGTATGAGTAACTATAATACAATCCAGTAGTTAAGGGGGAAAAAACAAGGGGAAAACATGAAAGGACACATCTTGTGAACCCACTTTGAAGATGGGTATGTTCCTTATCAGGATATGTGCATTTAGATCTTAGAGTGGTGGAAGCATTTCAGCTGATAACATAGCATGAGTAAAAAAATGCATCAATCTCTCATTTACTTGATTATTGTTTGTTTACATCAAGACACTGTTTGTCATTACAACTGAAACAATTTGGATCAAATTGCCCAAAAACTGTTCAAACTGATTCTAATTCTTGTATTTGAAAAGATGTGCAATGTGGATTATTTAATTGCATTTATTCTGTCCATTGTTGCAGACTAATGAACTTATTTGTTATTGTACAGACACTTACCTGGTAAATTGTCTTTGCTTATCCATCCATCTTGTTTAGATGAATTTATTTGTAATTCTTTTTCAAAATACTGAGCATTAATGATTTAGGTTCTGAGCTAGATTATTGCCAGGCTATTTACTCATTTATAATGGTCCCATTCTGCATAACATCTTATTGATTGCTTTCTAGTTTCAAATTCTATGTAATGATTTACTTGACTTCTGGTGCCTTGGGTTTTGTTCACAATACGAGAGAAAGTGACTGAGATTTTATTCATATTCTGGAAATTACCTTTTAAGTAATGTTGGTTAGAGACCTTTTTGCAACTTTCTATGGTTTTGTTCAGCCATATCAATTTTTTTAGCATTTTAGTAATAAAGAACTTATGACTCTATGTAAGTCATCTTTTTCATTTCATAATCCAAATAATACAAGTTCCAAGGGTTACAAAGATTTAACTGATTCCCTGGCTTATTTGGCAAAAACCAATAAATCTTAAATAGGTCCAGTAGTTAACAAATGGTGATAATTTAACTTGTATGAAATGATACCGATGTCATTTTGGTTACCTGAAACTAGCACTTAAATAGAACCCTTGTCATAGTCTAATTGCTTTCGTGTGATTTGAGTTTGAGGGTTAACTAGCTACATAACAACAATACATTTGGTATTATTATGCCTCAAAATGAAAGTTGTTACATGTGTTGAGACAGCATGATCAATAGTGCATTGTATGTAATTCCAATGTTCATCAAATAAAGTTGTCAAATGGTTAGTAGCTTGAATAATTTCTCCTCCAGTCTGTGCAAAGGTTTTTGCAGTTGCACCCTCTCCAGTTATCACAAGCACATTCGTCGTAACTTGCAATGTTGTTAATCTGCTTGTACTGTATCATTTCTGCTGCTGAATTTTATACAATTCATCAATAAATCTCTTTAAAAATCAGTTATGTCTTTCTGTTCCTGGCAATCTCTGAAGTGACAAGACAATGAAGAATGATTTTTCACTTTTGGCATCAGAATTCACATTTATTGCACATATAAACACTTGGTGAATGAAGGCAAAATGCAAACTACGTCCGTCAACATGTTTCCAATAAGAAATAATAAGCTCAAAATCTTCTGTGTGCCCACCATTACTTGACTTACTGCTCATTGAAATGATCAGAGTTTGTTCTTTACTGAGAAAGTGAAATCCCAAATATTATAAGGGTAACACTATTTTTCAGGGCTATTTTATTATAAGGAGGGCAGTTGAAAAGACCAAGGGCTTCTGCAAATGATAATGCCCTGAAAAATAGCGTTACCATTATTATAGTTAAAATGAAACAGAAGCAGCAATATCGTCAATATTGAACCCAAGTTCAAATAGTCGTAGGACATGCCGACGTGTTAGTGGTGAGACATGACGTCATGGGTGATTGAACATCAAGAGCTAAGCTCATGGCGTCAACAACGGGCATGATAATGGCCCGTCATCAAGCAATTTGGGGGCATAATATCAAGTTATAGTGGCCCGCTTATTTCTGATAACATGCAGGCGTTTAATGATAATTCTATCTATTTTAGCTAAAAAACATGTTACATTTGACTACTTTCTAAATTGCACAATGTATTCATGAAAGTGTGGGTTACACATTGAGGACTGTCATTACACTTGTCTTGTGTCTATAGATTATTGATGCTGTTGTTGTGTATGATGATCCAACTCACACGAGGTCAGTTCTAGCAAGTTAGAAGGCCATGGGACAACCATTTCATTGTGGAGAACCCGGGCACACTCGGGTCTGCATCAACAGATCAGGAGGTACAAAAAACGGGCACAGAGAACAATGGGGAGCCTCACAACAGTGTACTTGGGATGCAAACATTTCAATGGCATGGTCTGCATATTTATCAGGCTTTTCCTGAATCTTGCGAATCACATTGCTGTCAAAAAGGACAGAAAATTCAATAACACAGATGAATTCATTGCCTTTATCAGAAAGAACAAGAGAATTTTAAAACGCTTTCGATATGTTTAGGGTTGAGCCATTGATGGACATTGGGGTCTGATCCACAGGCATCCCTTTGAATATCATATAAACAGATATTTATAATCAACATGTCCAGTCAACTCCCCACGTAGCAACATTTATGTAGCTTTAAGACAGATTGGATAAGAGTGTTAGCATTGTCTGCTACTAATCCACAAGAAGTTGACATAAACAAACATATATCACAGAATTTAGCAGAAAAAACAATCTGCTTTAAAATAGGATGAGGTTAGTGTAGTGAAGACAAGTAAAATGTCAACCAAAATGAACTACAGAGCAATGTGATTGTTGTTTTCGCCATGGAAAACTTTTATAAATGCTGCATTCAACATTACGTGTAAATTGTCCAACTGGTTGTTGATGCTGTCAAGACAACACACAAGATGAAGGATGTTGTGTATAAGGCACCATATTTTTAAAACTTATCCTATATCAACGTATACACTTCTCTCTCTTACCTCCACCTGGTAATGGAAACGTGCTGTAGTGAATGAGTGAGTTTAGTTTTATGCCGCACTCAGATATATTCCAGCTATATGGCAGCGGTCAGTAAATAATCGAGTCGTGACCAGACAATCCAGTGATCAACAGCATGAGCATCAATTGGCTCAATGGGGGTTCGCCGCCACACTAATCTGCTTGGGGTGCGGGTGTACTATCGGTTATTGTTGCGCTGATCTTGTACTGGTTCATTATGACCTGTGCACTGCGCCAACGTTTCGCCAGTCACCGTGCGGAAACCAAGCTCGGTTACTACTGACGCGATATGGCTGCAACTTCCGAAGCGCTCACAGTTCAGAAGTTAAAGCAGGAGCTGATCAGGAGACCGGCAGCAACCACTGGCAGAAAGACTGATCTTGTCGAAAGGTATTTATTTGCTTTGAACAACGATACAGACCTAGAAAGCGTTTCTTATTCCATTTGTGTCTCACTGCTGACTTGGCAATGTCGGCAATGTCGGCGTATCATGTCTTCCACTCAGATTTTTGTACGCTAGATCATATATATAATGGTGATATATGTATGTGTTTGATAGATACAGACCTAATAAATTGGAGATTATATGGAACATAATTGCATTGTGACTGTCACACATTACTGCCATATCACTCAAACGGGTAGGGTGTGTGCACTGTACAACCTGGGCATTTGTCACTTTGATTAGAGAAAGCAAAGTTACAGAAATGTCCTTATTCATTGTATGAAATATATTTTCTACGACTCATTGTCTTATGTCAATACATCACAGAATCAGTTTAAGAAAACCGATAACTGAATATTATTCGTATTGTGGGTAATGATTTTTCTTTTTCATCGGTAACTTGATGCTCTGTGAATGTTTGTTGATGTGAGGAGCAATGCAGGGTCTTTTAAGCTTTTTGATTGGTCGACGTTTTGTTGTCAGCCATTTGGAAGCCATTTACAATCACTTTTGATATGAAACTGTCATGTCTGGACTTAGTCTTTAATACACGAGAATAACATCATTTTTGCTTTCATACACATTGAACCACATTGAACATAAACATGACTAGTCGAAAAGTCCTCAGTAAATTACTTGTGTATTGTTTAAACAAATACTAATTTAAAGATATTTGTGGAAAGTAATATCCCATGCCGTTTCAGCATTTTTAAAAGCTATTTTTTAGTCCTAGCTTGAATTCCAGAATAAACAAACTTTAGAAAGAGATAATCAAGAATATAAACGTACTTGTAATTCATGTATTTAATGTTCTGCGCAAGTTACTAGTTATATATATATATATGTTTCATATGTTTCACTTGTATATAAATATGTTCATATTTGTCCTATTGATCACAATACTACTAAGAGAATTAATTTGTATTTACTTATCTAAACATCTTCATTCAATAATTAAATGAAATATTGTTCTGTCAGACAATAATATTTCATCAGTCATTTAACTGATGCAGTGACATCATCAACCATGATAAACTTTTTCTTCAACACAAGATATTTGTTTTGTAGACTGAAGGCATATGATTGAAATGATGATTTCCGTGGCACTATCATCCATCTTCCTGAGCCACTTGATGCAAGGTGGCCATCATCAGGATTTAGGCAGCTTCTCCCTAAGCACCAAAGCATCCTACGTCTGATCT